ATTAAGGAGGTTTAAACACTAATGCGTTTCATGAGATTCAGTAATAACTTCGTTCACTACACTGATAGTGATTGCTTTGTAAATTAAAGCTGTAAAGCAAGCGAGCATGATGCAGCCGTTAAACTCCCCAGGAGCCTTATTGGCAGGTCAAATTGGAATAAAAATGTTTGAATTGACACATGGATCCAGTAATCACATCAGAGAGTCAACCACTTTCAAATTTATGAATCTGCAAATTTTTTTTGAGTGATTTTATCTAAATTTCAAGCTGAACCGGAATTTTTGAATGGAATATTTTAAGCCTGGGGCTCTCAAAAATTAAAATTTTGCAGTGCTTATATGTTGCTGAAGTATATCTGGTTACATGTTCCAACTCCTGAGAACAGCAAATTGGTAGATACTAATAGAGCATGTTTATTTTTTCTCATTAAATTCGTTACTAAGAGCTCAAATTTATTTTTACAGGAAGCTAGGTACACAAAGGTAAACATGCCGCTAGACATATCAAGTATTGAAACTGGTCTGAAGCAATCAATAAAAAATTTGAATAATACTGTCACTCAGACAAAGCAGATGATCGAGAACATAGCCACAACTGAAGCAAGTTTAGATGTGAAAATAGAGAAGCGACAGGTAGATTTAGAACGCAACAAAAAAAGACTGGAGTCCTTAAAAAAAGTTAGGTATGATTTCCAAATCTACTGGTTTGATGTAACTTTAAATGTAACGTAAAATGCTCTAAGTCAGTCTTTCACTGTGGGAAATTTGACACATGGCCATGAGCTTCTTGCAACATTTGTCAGAAAATGTAGGCAGATTTATTTAAAGCGCTGTTTGTAAAATTTGGTTGTTGACACAGGACATTATCAAGGATAACAGCTTTTTCAAATCATCAACTCCTCAAGAGTATGAGTGCAAAGTTTCAGCTTTTCAGCGTAATTTGCCAGCGTGCATTGGCCCAAAAACATATCATTATTTGTCAAAACAGCGGTTGGTTTAACATATGACATAGGCGTCAAGTCTTATTTCTGAAACAGATGGCAGTTAAGTTTAAATTTAAAGTAGTGATAATAATTGGGACACTACCAGCAAAATCGGTTGTTGTGGTGAGAATACTTTTCATTGGTTTTCCTCAGAAGGAGGACAAGAGCGAAATTTGTTCCTATTTTCTAATGAAGCTACTTACAGTTCTTTTTTTTATTTCACATTTTATTATATGCTGAGCAGTGATCATATTTGTGTTGATTTCAATCTTATCTCATTGCACACGTCTCCTTAAGCTCAAGTTTTTGTTGCGAAAGAAGTGCCCCACATAAAATAACGGATGTCACTTTCTTGGCAAATCGCTGTAATTCACTCAACTTTGCACTTATATAAATTGTCAAGGATGTATTCTCAGAAGAAAAGCTGCTTATTACAAAAAACTTTATTGGAATCTCCTTAATTCTAGGAGCTTCAAAGGTTCAAGAACTTCAAGCGAAATTTTCTCAAAACCCAAAAACTTAACATCTGCTATGCTTTCATGAAACGCTTCATATGTTCGCTGCCATGATTTTTTAAATATGAGAATGAAAACCTAATAACTCCTTGGATTCTATTGTTTATTCTCCGTATTTATTCCCTGTCCTTGCCGTCTCACCGTTGGGGGTAGGAAAACTACTTTTCACTTTCCATTTTCATCCATCGGATTCAGGCCAATATAAAAAACCAAGTGTCCTGTGAATTTTTTTATTGCTGATTATTTTCTAAACATTGATTGGTATAAACTGCAACCTTTGTCCTTTCAGACCATCATTTCTGGAAGAGTACGAAAAACTTGAGAAGGATTTCAAAGAACTGTATGAAGCTTATGTTGTGAGGTACAGATGTGTAGCTTATTTAGAGCAACAACTTGAAGAATTTGAGCAGGCAACACAGTCTAGGATTGATGCTAAACATGTAAGTTTCACCAAGAATATTATTATCCAGGGCCAGTGGCGTAGACGGGGGGGGGGGGGCCCGGGGNGACCCCTCCCCCCCCCCCTTAAAGAATTCCTAGCTACGCCACTGTCTAGGGCAATGTTCCATCATTAAGAACCATAGAACGATAGGTGGGGATAGAGGGCCCTATCGAGTTAGAAGCACAAGGAGTAAACAAAAAAGCCTCAGTTTTTTATTGAGCTCTAAGCTGAAATTTTCCCTCTGAATTTTAGAGGGGGTGAAAATTTTATGAAGGTATCTTATGGTACAGCACCTGAAGCACTAAAGACCTTCATGTAAGGTGGCGACCGAAGGCGACATAACGCTGCAACTAAGGTTGTCCAATTGAAGTTCCATCGTCAAATCGTTGCACTGATGTTGAGCAGCAGACTTGTACGTATCAAGTGCTGTACTGTTAGTGTTGTGCAAGTCCAAATCATTCTTGCAATGATCTATTAAAAATGGTTTGTGAGGAAGGAACTGCCTTCCATGTACTACATCAGTTGCTTATAAAAGAAGAGGCTAAAATCGTAAGAGATGGATGCTCTTAAAACCATATTGGCCAGGCTGGGCTGGTGAATACAGCCATTAAAATTAGCAAAAAAGTCCATGACATCTTGCAAGGTATTCTCTGCTTGAAAATAAAAAAATTCCAATTGAGTGAGACATTGTTCTCATTTGGCAAAAAACCTTTAATAAATTCTTTTAGTTTCTAAGACTTGTAAAAAATTATTCTTGTTTCCTGTGCACTCATCAAGTTTATTTCGCAAATTTTTTAAGTTTGTTTTTGTGATATATTACTCCATCTATACAGAATTAGATGACATATTATGCCAAAAGTAATTATTTGTCATTCAATGAAAATTTTATTTCCCTGCCATCATCAAAATATTAGACGCTTTTGTCTTGGCATCATAATGTAGAGTAGGTATGTACAAACTGATATTTTTTTTTTGAGAATGTCCTCAAAATTTTTCTCTTAAGAGGGTGAAGAGAAATGAATGAGTCAATATGACTTTAATACCTTCAATAAAATTAAATCTATTCCTTCATGAAGTTTTGTTACAATGGGAAAAAATGAAAAGTCCCAGGAAGGTATAAGAGCAGAGGAGCGATTATTGAAATTGATAGACAAAGCAATAGACAAAGAAGACGGACGGAATAGAAAGGTTCCTATTGGTGGAAGCGTGTGATTGCGATGGACAAAGGAGGTTGGTAATAGACTAACTAACGGCAACTCACGAGAGACCCTTTAGTTAGTCCATCATTTACACCCTTAGTCTGTAGGTACCACCCACTTGAACCAATAGGATCGCTCTATACTCTCTATGTCTCATTTGTCTATCGCTTTGTCTATAAATTTTAAATATAAGCCCGCAGGTCTGGGATAGGGAGAGAGAATAATAACCTCAAAACAGCACTGTATTCAAATCATTGTCAAATTACTTGTTGCATTCTAGGAGGAAACAAGAAAACTTGTTGAAAAAATGCGTCAGGAAGCAGCTGCAAAACTTTTTGATGGAACAATCGAAGATGAAGGGCAGGCCGCTAATGGAGCACAAACTGCTGGCACAGGTACGGAATCACTTTATTATCTTTTGAGCAGGATGTTATTTTTAAAAAATGAAAAGAAATGGAGAGCATGAATAATGTTTTAAAGCGATCATTATATTAGGCTGATCCAGTCATAATGAGATTCCGATTCCATCATAACATTGGAAAAAAGCATCAAAAAAGTGATATTTATCATTTTATTTGCCTGAGCTGAACATTTTCCCCCTCAGTCTTGTGCCGGTATTCATTAAAGCCTAAACTTTTTGACTCAAGTTAAAATTTGTGCACTATATGGCCTTGTTTTCCCTGCAAAATAGTGTGAGCCCAGCACCATTTTACCACCTTGTCTTTTTATTTGTAGCACTGAAAGATGTCAAGTCGTTCTTGTTCTTTCGATGCTATTTGATGCAACAGAGAATCCTTCAAGTAATGTTAGGACAAAAGCATCTGCATGAAAAAGGTTATTTATAAAGCTACCTTTTAAGGAGATTTTTAGGGAGAAAAAAATACTTATATCAGAAGTAAATAGCAAACCAATGTGGGCTTACATAACACGAACCTTTCATAAATTAATTCTTCTGTGAACAGGTTCCAGAATGGTCGGTGGAAAACGAAGAGTATTTGGAAGCATGACAGGCGGAGGTGATGACTTAGGCAGCTCTGATTCTGACTCAGATTTGTTTTTTGATGATGATGATGACAATGACGATGATGATGATGAGGACGATGATGATGATGACGATGATGAAGATGATGATGATGGCAGACATGATGAGGATCATGACAAGAATGCAGACAGAGGAGACGGAGATTACTAGTCTGATGATACTGGAATTTTCTATAATTGTTGTTAGTCTGATAAAGGGTAGCCCATGGCTGAAACATTTTCTTTCAGTCATGATTGCTTTGTCATTAAAGATTTCGAACTAAGAGATTTCTTTTTTTCCGTTGTCTCAAATTTTCCTCTAGTATGATCCCACAGTTGAATTTTGGCCTTCAAATTCTACTTTTTTGTATAATTATCTTTATGAACATAAGCTATTGAAGTTCAAAAAATCAATTGGTTTTTTAAATTGATGAAGATTTAGCTAGAAGATAACATTAGTAATTTGTCACGTTAAAATTGAAATTTATCAATCTAATCTTTGAGACAAATATCTACACTGAAAAAAAAAGTGAAGTTGATTTAACATTCTGGGTGTAAAAAAAGTGTGCGAGAACTTAAAAAATGCTGAATTACCCACTACAGCAGTTACCTTAATAATGCCAAGATGTAAAACTAACTGCTGTAGCCGATAATTCAACATTTTATAAGTTCTCGCACACTTTTTTTACATCCAGAATGTTAAATCAACTTCACTTTTTTTTGGTGTAAATTAAAGTATATTAAGTAATTAAATTAAATTTCCTTCGCTCCTTAGCTGTATCTCTATCTTTCATCTATGCTTTCATTTCACTTTATCAAAGCAG